TAGCCCTCCGCTGGACTCTCTCCAGTAGCTCCTCATCTTTCTTGAACTGGGGAGCCCAGAACTGGACACAGTACTTCAGATGGGGCCTTATCAGGGCAGAGTAGAGAGGAAGGAGAACCTCCCTCAACCTACTGGCCACATGTTAGGGGTTGGAAGGGACCTCTGTGGGTCACCTAGTCCAACACGAGATGGCTGGAGAAGGCTTTCCCCCCCAGACTATTAAGCCGCATCCCCAGAGCAGCACGTTGCCCTCAGCCCCCACTGCAGACCCCTGACTTGCAGTCGTGCTGGCAAGAAGAGGCCTCTGCAGTCAGACTCGCCGGGTGTTTTATCCCCACCGAAACATGTTTAGAAAATACCAGCTTTTTCCAAGAGCTCCCTGGCACATGTCAGACACGACGGTCCCAGAAGCCCAGCAGCTGTCTGCTGCCGGCAAGGCGCTGCTGGCGTCACAGTGCTTCACTGCTGCTTTTCATAGAGAAATCCTTTAAAATAGACTTCTTCTCTGTTTCTGTTGGAACTTATATGAGCAGATGTGCCAGCAGATGTTCCCTACCAATCTCCCCCCAAACCAGCCATGGCTTCCCTGACCCTCCCCAGGCTCAGGAGCCCAGCACGAGCAGGGGGATCCAAGCACCGGCAAAACCCATCCGTGCTGGAAGCAGTGCCTGTCTCCACACCAAGGAGCGCACGACGAAGCGGGGACCGTGCCCGCCATGCCCCCCAGGCAGCAGAGAGCCAAACCCAGGGTGACCGCTTCAGTCTGGGGTCCAGCTCCCAGGGGCAGGAGCGGAGCAGCCCTCGGCAAGGTGAGGTCCAGCAGCCGCTGTCCTCTCCATCCCTCCGAGGGATGCGGGTGGCGTTTTGCCCAGCCTCGGCACCTGCTTCCGAGTCACCAGGAGAAGGACCCCCAAAAAGGCATGTCCCCCTGCCCAGGCTTCAAGCAAGAAACCACGCGCCGCTAGAGCTCTGGCTTCTCCCCACCCCACCAAGGCATTCAGCACCTAAATAAGCCCTTGGCTTACCAAATGTTTTAATCGGGAGGGGAAATAGAGGGGAAAGTCTTTCTTTTTTTTTCCCTTTCTTTGCGTGTTTTGTTCATTTTGAGGCACAAAATGCATAGAATGTGGTTTGTCTCAGAACAAAGGGATAGCACTGAACAATGCAAACAATTTAGCATCAGGCCAAGTCCTCAGAATTAATAAAGTTTAGTGCTAACAGGTCAAAAGGCTATTCAAGGTATTACAGATACTACACACGGCCGGTTACTTTGAAAATATGCTATTAATATTATTGTCTAATATTAATATTATGTGAACTAACAGTAGCATGCAGGTGACATAAAAGGGTATAAGAAAAATGAGGGTAAAACTCACATCCGGGTGTGGAATAGCGTATTGTCCCTGAATTGTATAGGCCTGCGAAAGAAAAAAAAACAAACCAATGTTATTAGGGCTGGCAGAAGACAGCGGCAGAGCCCCGTGCCTCCGCAGGGACTGCAGTCCCTGGACTGTGCTCCTTTCTGCCAGGTGTGGGGTAAATGCTGTGAATGCCGGGGCGAAAGAGGAGCTCACCCCCCGCCCCGCCCTGCCCGGGACCCCGCGCTGCCCTCAAATAACCCCACACAGAGGGAGCTGGGCGTTCTGCCACCGGCAGAAAGCGGGGTGCGCGATCTTGAATTCTGATTTAACGAGCTTAGTTTTGAGGCTGGAGGGGATGAGGGAAGCACTTTCTGAGCAGTTGCCCTATGCACCCCCCCTGGCTAGCCCAGGGGAAGAGCCCCCTCCCCATGTCACATGAAATTCTCTGCGGCAGCGAGTCCTTGGGGCAGGAGGGAGACGTACCCCTCCGATCAAAGCCAGAGCACGCTGAGCTACCTAACTTGAAGGGCTTGAGCTCTGTTAGGTTTTTCCAAAAGGAGAGAACCAGCCCTTTCAAGGTGCCAGGATTGCACAGAGCGGGAAGAGTTGGCTTTGCCGTAGAAAGGACATTTATCAAATCAGAATTATCTGCGTGGCGGATGCAAGGCAACATCACCGATGGCCTTCGCACCTAAATGTGACCCTAGAAAGCAAGCCAGTGCGGTGAGTCTCTCCACATTTTCAGGTGCGCAGCTCTCAACGTGCTTTACATCCACCCAGTATATGCCAGTGCTCTACTGGGGGGAAAGGCATTGCTGCGCAGAAAGCCAGCTGGTGCTGATGTCTCACCAAGCATGGAGAGGGCTCAGGGACAGGCTGCCTGCACTGCAATGCCTTTCACCAGCTATAACCAACAAATCCATGCAGATGTCTGACAGGCAAATTATTTAGCATTTTTCCCATCGTTTCTAGCAATCCTTTCTCTTTTGTAAATAACCTGAAAATAAGCACTGCTGTGGATAAAGAACCAGACACTAGACAGCCCAGTATTCTGGAATTAACCAGCTAGCAAAATGTCTCACTGGTTAACACATTATTCAGATGATTCTGAGAGAAATGGCACAAGTGATGGATAACACTTTAAAAAGGGAGAGTAAAGGTAGCCAACAAAAAAAACCCCTCCTCTGAAAATGCTGCAAATTTGCCACACCGTCTGCAAACGGCAAAGAGCTTGGTGTGAGGAAAACCCCCAAAATCCTGGAGGAGGAAGGAGGCAAAGCCCCCCCCACAGAAATGGTGATCCTAGTGCCTGCCGGCATCCCGGCGCAACGGCGTGCCCGTGGCCACGTGGCAAAGGCTGCCCTAAAAAGCTGTCTTTCCTGGTAGTTTAATTTGGTCGTTCGTTTTGAATTAGAAAAAAACGATTAGAAAAAGCTAATTAAGGGCAGGAAGGTGTCTTGGACAGACGCAACCCATGGACAACAGGGCTGATCCCTTCGGCAGCTGGCATCGGCCACAACCGCCCCCCACCCTCC